GTGCTTTCTTCCCCGTCAAGCGTTTTCCCTGATATTGTGATGATACTTTCTGCAATATTAGTTCCCCGGTGCCTTTATCATTAAAAAAAAAAAGTGGTTCAATGTCACGTTTTACTTTACATCTTACGAAGGTGGCTTCATCTCTAATCCTTATATTCCTGTGTCCCTCTGAACATAATAAACACGGTCGCCCCCCTTGACTACAAGTTTCTGAGAACAAAAGAAACAATAAAAAAAAGAACAGTGAAAAACGCTTAAAGACTAAATTGAAATGAATCCTATTGGGAATATGTAAGTTTAACGAACAAAAAAAATTAAAAATCACATAATATTTAAGGTCATGAATTTATAAAGATATTTACACTTTAAGAATAAAGAGAATCTTCTGTGGCAGCATAATATACGGAAAAAAAAATTACTAGTTCGACACTTAAACTAACCGTATGTTGGGGACGAGGACGAAGGATTATCAGGATACATAGACACGAGGTTAGTGTCCCGACGATCCTTCGGATCGCTGCGTCTTCCGACAGTGATGTAACTATTAACACGTAATCCCTTAACGTTATATTTTTCCGGTGGTAGCTCCCGCGTTGACGCTAAACGCTTCGTTTCCGGTATTGATAGCAGCGCGCGAACGAGACGCTTAGAGGCGTCTACGATAGCGATCGCCGCGTTTAGCGAGAATTCGAGAGCTGCATTAGCCACCGGCAGTTTGTGATATATTTAGTGAAACAAATTAAAAATGGTTGTTATTCAAATTAAAAAAGAGAAGAAAGAGAGAGAGAGAGAGAGAGAGAGAGAGAGAGAGAGAGAGAGAGAGAGAAAGAGAGAAGAAAAGCGCCTAGCGGTTTTACATCCACACACTTACACACCAAAAGGATTTGGTAGTATAACTGCGCACGCTGCTGAGAGCGATCCGATCCATGTAACACTGATTGTGAGACTAAATCTCATAGGGCATTCCGTGGTAGATAATGGGCGGAAGGTTGCCTTTTAAAGCTTTTTGTAATCTCCGCAGTTTCAAAGAACGTTTGAGAGGACTAGTCAATTTGCGTGGCGGCAATTTGCAGATGTGAAACAATAATTTCTCGTTATATCTCAAGCTCGGGAAGACGAGGGCTTTAATAAAAGTAAAAGGTCTACTCGAGTGAACTTATTTAGAAAGCATTTTAGACATCTTTACTCTGGAATTATTCTTTTCCCTTTCATCAAAGCTTTGCGAATCAAATCGAGGAAGCTGGAGGTGTCGTTTTAAAACTCGGAGTTGTCACTTTTAACGCGACACCCTCGGCCCGTCAATGTTTACCGGTCGTGGAAACTGAGGCAACGGGATTACAAAACGTTCCTTTGAGAGGGTAACAGGCACTGTCAATCTACCAGCTTAATGTTGTTTATTATTACACAACAATTTTATATACATCAAGCCATTTCTACTCATTGCGATACATAATTTTTTATAACGAATTCAGCAACGCAGATTGAACCACCTTACCATCTTACGTCGCCGGCCTCCTCTTAGCAGCGTCGACCGCCGTGTATAACTAATTGTAAATTTTAGGTATTACCGCGCGTATAATAAGGAAAAAAAAAGCGATAAGTGAGAATGAGGCGAACTATCGTGGAGGAGAGGTGGAATAAGAAGATAAACAAAAATGATAATACACATAACAACACACACACTATATATATATTGTAATATTATTTTTCGAACATAGTAATGTAATGTAGAATATAATATATATATTATATATATTATATATATATATATTATCGTATTGTAACGATCATTTCGTATAGCGTTATAGGCTGGACGAGGTGTTTTTGGAGGTTTAAGAGAATTAATTAAGGTGGGCCAGAAGCGGGCGGGCGTGCCGAGCGGCGCGAGGTCACACTGATATTTTTACCAAGTTTTTTCGAATATTGGAGATCCCCGCGATTCCTATATAATGAGAACTTAAATGTATCCTCGCGCCACTGCCGCCCCCGCGCTATTTATTAGCGAGCACCCGCCGACCAGTCGTCGAAATTCGATTCGAGCTCACGTCGTGTTCAACTTCGTACAAATATGGAAACAAGCAACACATTATAACGTATATAACACTTATAAACATACATATATAACATGTGAACAACAAGGTAAACGATATTGACAATTGATCGCTGTGCTTACTCCGAAACTGCGATCATTGAGATTAGCCTCTAATGTATAATTAATTGATCTCCATTATACATTGAGGGAGCAATTGACGTTCTTTTAACAAATCTAAATTTTCCATTCTAAACCGAAGATACATTGGTCCTTTTGTTTGACGATAAAGAATTGCAGCGAAGATGCAAAATTGTGCCATCTGTTTGTAGAATAGATTAAAACATGAAAAAAAATGATATATTTTTTAAGTAGATATATAAAGGTTGTAAAAATATATTTTATTGCAGATAGATATATATCCGAGTTCAGTGTATAGACACAATTTTCACGAGATAACGTAATTATCTCTTCTCATTTCCAAATGTTTCTCAACATAACTCCAATTCGGCAATTACTTGAAATCAAGTCTGTGTCGGTTGTTCCCGTCCTATAATAAAGTACAATTAGGCAATACTAATGGAACAGAAAATAATAGATAAAACGCATCTGTTGCAGTTCAGTAATTGTGAATTGTTGACGACTGGCCCGCGGAGAATTTTCAATTTGTCGCGCCGAAGATCGAAACGATGCGGCCGAGACGACACGGCGAACAAAAGTCGGTCCTTGAATCGGAGCGATTCTCGTCCAACCGCGACGTTTCGTTCTTCGAGGCGACGCGTGCGTATCTTAATTTTTCATTGTTCACAGAAGGGACGAAGAATCGAACAGAGAAAGAGGTGTGTACAGTGGGAATGGTTGGCTATATAATATGAGTAAAAAAAAAAGAGAAAAGAAAAGGAAAGTCAAAACTCACTCCCCCGTTCCCTCCCGCCTTCCTCTCCCTTCATCTCCTACTTTTGAACCCAACACTTTTGGAAACTCCTCAAGTGTCGGCCCGATATGGACAACATAAAAGCGAGATGTTTCCCGACGGCGAGAGAACGACTGTGTAAATTTTGCGAGGACTAATGTAATACGTAAAAAAAATGAGAAAATGAAAAAGAAAATGTTTACTAACACGTTGTGTTTTAACATACATTATCGGATATTATTGGTTGTCGAATAGATGCGCCCTGCAAAATTCAAAACCTACAACGAGTTGCGGCTAAGATAGACTTCTTTCCTTTCGTTTTGTTTTTATATGCAGTTGTTATTCGATATGTTTTGTTGTACGAATATGCTGGCATGTTGAATCGTGGATGAGAACCAAGAGTCGCGAGGCTGGACATATCTATTTTCTGCGAGGCGCAATCGGCTCGCTACGGCCTTTAAGTTTCGCAAGTTCGATCACCGCGTGACAACACCTGCGTTTCGTCCGTCGTACCTGCCGAACGAATTTGAGCCTGCGGTTTTGTTTACCACGGCGAATATACGCAGCGATATTTCGTGCAATGCAGACAGACCGTCGTGGAGCTTGTCCGCAGCGGCACGAGCGGATTGCGCGTCGCTTTTAATAGAGAAGAGAAGTAACTATACGGACTAGAGGAAAATTAACATTGTGATGTTCATTGATCAAATATGTCAAAAGAAGAAGGCCCACTGGTTGAGGCCCGACATTTCTGAGTACACTATAAATAATAAATATTATGTAAAATTTATTGAATATTGCGCACATTTCATTTCATCACCTTATATCTATCGTGCACAGGATGTCTCTAATGATACAAAAATAATTAATCCTCACCTTACACTCGTCGAAGGATGTGAGATTATTTAATTGAATCGTGCATTACTGAAACACTGTTGCAAGGAATCTGGTTGTTTATTTCAGAAAGCCCCTAAGTTAATATTTTCAAAATTAATTTTTAAAAACATTACCAACACTATGCTGCTTGTTTCCTACATGTAAAATAAAATGTGTCATTGTCAACTAAGTACTGCACTCATTTTTTCATCTCCTGAAAATTTACAAAAATTTTCTTAGAGTATTTCAGCAATACACGATTCAATTGATCACTGTGCCGTGCGTGATGATGCAGAGCTGAAACGTACGGTTTATATATTCCACTAGTTGGTACAGACCGAAGTAACGTTAACTTGAACATCGTCAACCGCGCATTGAAATTCTCTCTTCATCTCAAGTTCCTTTTTTACTTTAACGAGGAATAAATTGAGAAAATTAATAATTATTCTAAATTTCTGCGACTTTAACGAGATTTAATTTAAGACGCGATGTAATTTGAAACGAGAAACGTCGAAAGAAGATAAAAACCAGTCAGTTTCAAGTTGATCGCTAAATCTGTACACGAGAAACGCGACGTGTTGTACCGAGACATCTTACATGCCTTTCCTTCTTTCCCGCCAATCTCAACGAGAGGAATCTCTTTCTTCACTTTAATCTTGTTAATTTTGTTATCGATCCTTTGGTCATTTTTTCTTATTTATATAATAAATTTTAGTCGACCTTATCTGGCATGTGTTTAATGTATTTAAAAATTGGATATACAAGCGACGTTTCGACCATCGGTTCTGGTCCTTCTCAAGCCATTACTAAAATAATTGTATAAATAGAATGATACATAGATATAATTTGTTAAATAAATAAATATATATAATATACAATTATTTTAGTAATGGCTTGAGAAGGACCAGAACCGTTGGTCGAAACGTCGCTTGTATATCCAATTTTTAAATACATTAAACACATGCCAGATAAGGTCGACTAAAATTTATTATATTTATTATCACTGGCAACTTTAAGAGACTCCCAAGTTTTCTTATTTACCTTTCGCAATTAATCTCGTTGTTTCGTGATACTGAGAGAGCGCCACAACCGATCCCTTTCAGGATATTCCTTCGCGAAACAGTGTCGTCAGTTTGGCGGAAACACTGCGGAATTTATACTCGCGACTACGATATTTCACGGGGTGTCAGATGTCACGTTCGTTGGGGATTGCATTACGGACGCTCAGCGATGCTGCGGCGGGATGCGTGTGCCGTGCGGATCGACGTTTGAAATGAACGCACATGCGGCGGGCGGCCAATCGCGGCCGGTCGAACGTGCGCCGCGAAGCGATGTGCCGCGCACATTCACCGCGAATGTACGACGGCAATGAGCGATAAGGCCGCGATTGCGCACTTGGTCGGGAAAACGGAGCACGACTGCCATTTTCGCTACGTGAAAACCCATCCTGAGGCTAGCCGACAGTGACATGGTTCGACATGGACGGCAATACAGGCGGAATTTTCTCCTGGTCGAGATTATAGGAGGGAAAAATATGTCGGAGTGAAAATTGCAGGATCACATCCGTTCTGCCCAATGAGGCTGGGAGGAGCGGAAACACGGGAAGTTGTAGGCGCTGAAAGATTCTCCCTCGAAATGGAAAGGCGAGATGGATACTACATGAGCGAGTAATCGTGTCAAAATGTGTACGTGCGGCTGTGTACGAATCCCTTGAACCTCACGAGTCCAAAAAAGAAAGAAACTAACGTTTATTTCTCGCTCGTTCTGTCGCTGACGAGCAGTAGAAGTGTCTGATGTACGGCATATCGTCTATGAAAGTGTCTGATCGCATGTAGCATTTATCACAGCGACTCTCAACGCATCAAGAGTTCAAGTCTCTTTGGAACCAATGATTTCTCTGTAAAAACACAAATTTTACTTAATTCCTTTGCAAAACAGATTTGTGGCGGAAACTGTTAGATTCTCACCTCTTGTCGAGTTCCGAAAGCTAGTAGTCCAGTTAACGAAGTAAAACTACGAAATAAAAATACGCTATTTTAAAGCCATCGAGTTGGACAAATTTGAGAATATCCGAAAGCTGTAATTGACGCAAGTTTAGTTAAGCGATGATAAGCTGCCACTGAATGGACCGTCATCAGCATCATCATCAGCGCGCGGTTTCACGGAGCGAAGGGGACTTTTACCAAGGCGGTTGGCAGGTCTGGGCTCGTCCGCTTCTACTTGGCCTACTCTCCGTGTGTTCCGCATTGGATTTTCGCAATCACCGCGCGGAATCGCGGTAAAAACTCGCGATCACGTTCGCGATCGATCAGGCTTGGAGGCGCGCGGCTAATGAACCTGAGTGCGACCTGAACCGCGAGGTGCTAACAATCGGCAGTCCTTTGGTCGACTCCGAAGCGTCGTGAAAATCGAGGAGCGACCGTCGTCGAGGCGGACGGTCGACGCGGAGTGCTCTCTCTGAAAAATGTGTCGGTGGCTCGCGACGAGGTGCGTCGGCTCCCCGTGCGAGCGAACGCGGCATTGTCGAGGAGCGATTGGCGGAGGACTCGAAAGGCTCGACGTACTTCCTCGACCTGAGACCTCGCGAGAATTCGTGTGCGGTCGCGTGCGCATACGTGCGCAATAGCGCACAGCGTATAGTTGGCGTACGACGGGTTGTTCGCGCGGGCATCCCTTCTGTCGGTCCAAGTGGCTGAGACACTCGGGATCCGAGCTGATAGATAGACGTTTCTCTTCGGTGGACTTTTAATTCGGTTACTATCTTGATTATCCTCCTGAATGTTATCAACTGCCCTACTGGGTTTCCGCGTAAAACTTCGTGATTGTGAAATTTAATGCCGCCTCCTTAGTGGATGTATTATTGATATCGAATAGACTAAACTCTTGCACTTATCTCGATCCCGAATATCTACTGATTGAGATATCTCGGAAATATGAATAGACAGGTTTAGTTAAATGTTTCTTTCTTGTGGACTGTAGTGACCATGTGGTGACTGCTGCAATTATCGCGTGGTAAATCGCCAGTTGAAGCAGGTTATGTGGAAAAGTGTGTTTATCAAAAAATGTGAAGGGATTTAAGCATCATTAATCTGAGAGCATATTGCAAAACGAGTTCTGCATCAAGTAACGTAAATATTTAACGAAAATATATAGTTTTTTAAATACGCATATTTACCTATTTATTTTAGAAGAGATGTTTTACATAAAACACAGTATTTTGTTATTATGTAAGATAAAATCTTCTATTTGAAAAAAGTAGTATATTACTTATTAATTAATTATTATTACTTATACTTATTCAGTTATAACTTGTCAGATAATTACAAACAAATTATCTGTATTGTAAATATATATTCACGAAATATTTATGAAAAATTTTATGGATTTAAACATAACATAATTTGTAATATAATTTCAGTTGTAAATTTCTCCACGATAGATATATATCGATAGTTTGTTAGTTTTGGTTGGTTACGTTCGGAGCACGCGATTGGTTCTACTTGACTCTATTATTGCTGATTAAGGATATTATATTGATTTACTCGGTTAATCTTTTTCATCGCTCGTAACATTAGAATGAAAGATATTATACAATATAATTTTGAAGTATTTAATTTCAATATTTCAGTGTTTAATATTTGCTTTAGTTGTTTATCTTATGTTTTTGTTATATTGCATGTTTGATAATTTCTTACAAAACATATTAAATAAACATAAATTAAAAACATAAGACATTGCTTATAATTCATAAAATTATTATTCTATTATCATTAAAGATTGATGTAATTTTTTATTATTAAAATCAACATTGCCTGACAATTTAAAATTAGTATAAATATGTTTCAATATAAATATATCTTCTCTCTTTGCAGAAGCGAGTCGTTGTATTGGCAGTATCATCTCTTCAAAATATTTTACCATATTAAATTAAAGAACACATTTTACCTTCTGCAACAACATGGACGATGATATCGATGATAAAGACGATACGAAGCGGTAGGAAGTTATTTAAAATTCTTACGCAACTTATTTAATGTTTGTCGCGATAAACATTAAGCTTATAAATGTTTGCCTTTCAGAAAATCGCGTAATCTCAGCGAAAAGAAACGCAGAGATCAATTCAACATGCTTGTGAACGAGCTCGGTAATATGGTTAGTGCCAATACGCGGAAAATGGATAAATCCACGGTGCTGAAGTCGACAATTTTATTTTTAAAGAATCATAATGGTAGGTGCAAGATTATCCACAGCGTAGTTTTCAATTAAAATTGTTAAGCGTTGAGTAAACGTTAAGTAAACGTAAAAGTGTTAATAATTAGCTCAATTTTTTAAATATTATTTGATAAGCTTTTAAACGTAATTTTTTGGCATTACAGTATGTAGTTGCTCATTTTCAGAGATAGCTGTTAGGTCGAGAGTCCATGAGATTCAAGAAGACTGGAAACCATCTTTTCTTTCTAACGAAGAATTTACTCATCTTATATTAGAGGTAAAATTACTACAGATTATAATAAGCTAAACATAAGATTCCAGCAAATTCTGTAGTATTATTTAATGTAGATTTGTAAACTTATAGATTTAATATAATATTATTATAGGCGTTGGACGGATTTATAATGGTTTTCTCTTCAAACGGATATATTTATTACGTTTCTGAAAGTGTTACGTCTCTGCTTGGATATCTCCCGAACGAATTGGAGAACACAAGTATTTATGATGTAACTTTTCAAGAGGATCAGCCACACTTATATAATGTTCTACTAAATCCCGGAAGCACACAAGACAGACGCAGTGTGAAGAAAGGTATTTTTCATAATTATTAGAAGTTAGAAGACTTGTGTGGTTTTATAAATTGATTGAACATAATTTTCTATATTGACAGAGGACCAAATTTCTTTTATGTGTCATATCAAAAGGGGCGGACTAGATTTTCGGGAAGAATCTATTTATGAACTTGTACAGTTTATCGGATACTTTCGTAAGTAAAATATCTCAAAACGTTTTAATTTATACAAAACAAATATTCAGGTAACTAGCTGAATCTAAATTAAATTAAAATTGAGTTTGATCAAAGTAATGCATTATTATAGGCCCTGTTGTGGACAACGATGTTGACAATCTATTGCCAAGTCAGAAACTTAGTAATACCAGCGGATCAGATAACAAGTATTGTCCCTAGTCACATACAAAAATATAGAAACACAATCGCATCTCAGTTCATTCATGTTTAATTTTGCAGATTGGTCTTTGTGGGTACGGGACGTTTGCAAACTCCTCAGCTTATCCGAGAGCTATCCGTAACGGATAATACAAAGTCAGAATTCACATCCCGTCATAGTCTCGAATGGAAATTCCTATTTTTAGATCACAGAGCACCTCCTATTATTGGGTATTTGCCTTTTGAAGTCTTAGGCACGTCTGGTTACGACTACTATCACGTGGACGATTTAGACAATGTTGTTACGTGCCATGAATCATGTGAGTATTGAAAAAAGCGATTGACTGTGCGTGCGGTCGATTATAATTGATAAGGTCATCTTTTAGTGATGCAGAAAGGCGAGGGAACGTCTTGCTACTACAGATTCCTCACGAAAGGCCAGCAATGGATTTGGCTGCAGACCAGATTCTACATCACTTACAATCAGTGGAACTCGAAACCTGAATTTATCGTGTGCACGCATTACGTGGTCAGTTATGTCGACGTAATGAAGGAAATGCGGGCAGAATCGGGGGGTTACGATAAAACGCAAAATCAGGACGTTTTACTACCCGTAAAACAAGTAAGATGATAGACGACACGCGATTATAGAATTCCATAACTGTTGCAGTACTAATCGTATGGGACGAAATAAATGCGTATCAATAAGTGCAAGGAACGGAGACATCAGGGCGGAAACAATTCCGCTCTGATTAAAATTGATTATATCGTTAGTAGAACATTTATGCCGAATCAAAGTTTAAAAGATATTCTTTTCAAATATTTTTATCAATTTATATTGGCTAATACTTTGAGGCTGATACGCTTGATCGTAACCTTTATTACTTACTTTACTTGGAGTTGAAGAATATTGCGGATAAAATATTTGCTGTGAGAAAAGCAGATACGGTTAAACAATGCAATAGAGAAACAAAATAATTTTTTAATTTGCTGAAAAACTGTATAACGAAATGGAAAAACAAAATAGATGTTGTTATTCACGTACTTTGATTATATCTTGCAAATTTTTAAATATACATAATCAGATAGAGCGATAATTATTTAAGTGTTAGAATCTACAAACAAGAATACGATATATAAAGTAATAAAACATTAAAAAACAACATTTTGAAGCAAAATAGAGACAGAAGAAGGAAAGAGAGGGTTCTTTCCTTTTATATGGAATGCCGATAATATTATTATGACTTGAAATCAATTTGCATATGCGCGTATACATTATACTTATATTTGGTTCACATTTTCACACACACAGATAATGACATCTTGTCAAACCGTCACACCGTTAGCGCAATGGTCAAACAAATCGTCGAGGACGTCGAAGTCGATGACAGTCGCTTCCAATCTCCGACATCGTGGCGATGGTTCCAATACGTCTTCAATATCTGTTTCGTTACGAAGTTCACCACATTCACAAATAACACACGGATCAAGATCGAATGCGGCTTCTGCGAGCAGTTCCGTGGTCTCAAAGCCGATTGCATCGGTAGATAGTAGGCAACAGCAACAAACGCAACAGCAACAGTCACAGCAGCAGCAGCAGCAGCAGCAGCAACCGCAACATCAACTCGATGTCAATCAATCGTGTATTAATTTCATGGATCCTGCGCAATATGCAACAGTTAATCTGCAATCGGTCGTTACAACAGGATTTGCAACGCCTGCTGCTCCAATTCTTTCATCTGTACCCACCCATGAGGTAAGAGAATTATTAATCTGTGACATTAATATTAATAGCGTATACTTATATAATTGTATGTAAAATGTACAAGTTTAGTGTATGTAAAATGTACAAATCTAACCTTCCCTTTCGTTTTTCTTAGACCTTGCGAGAACTTCATACATAATACAAAATGCTAGTAAAAATAAAGCATGTCAATAAAGCATGATGATTAATGATAAAAAATTATACTTTAAACTTTAATATACTTGCTATACAGTCTAATATAGATTTTTAGCACAATTTTTATATTTAGCAGTTATACGTATAATTTATATTTCAGCATTTTACTTTTTATTCCATTGTCGTATGTACGTTTCATGATAAGAGCATCCATACTGAATGTAGAAATGTGGGGGATTCGAAACGAAGAAGAATGGTTTTTGGCTCGTGTCGCTACGTCGATTTTTCGCCGAGTTATAGCGTTTTAAAAATCCGGCGCGCGCGCGCCATTCATGAATGAAGGCCGCGCAAGTTTTACGCGAGTAGTACTACGTCCCTAAAAAACTGGCTTTAAAACATACGGAGGCACAGGGGTTCGGTAGTAAACATCGCCGCGCGAGACGCCGCATATACGCGTCGTCAGCTGCTTCTGAATGAGGATTAAGATCGCGAGTCGATATAATCGTCAATAACTTCGCACAGAAAAATCGTAGGAAGATGATCCTGGTCTCGTTGGAAAGCTAAGATTTCAGCGCTTCCAACGAGATAAGAATCGCTTATCTCGGATCATTAGTTTACGAGATTTCATTAATTAATTACAAAAATAAAATTGATTTTGTCCCAAGATCGAGATCGCGAGTCGATATAATCGTCATTATCTCCGCACAGAAAAATCGTAGCAAGATGATCCTCGTCTCGTTGGAAAGCTAAGATTTCAGCGCTTCTAACGAGATAAGAATCGCTTATCTCGGATCATTAGTTTATGAGACATTATTGATAAATTCTGAGAAAATAGATTTTGTCCCAAGATTGAGATTGTGAATTAATCTTTCGATTGGATGAATCTCTCACGTCGTGCATTAAATAGCAAACCTAATTTATGTTCACTCAATATTTATTTTTCTAAATATACACATATGTAATTGTACGGCATTTTTAATAATACAGAAAATTTATTGCGAAAAATATTACCTCAGTTAGGGTTTGAACCTCCCTACACTTTACGCGGGCGTCTCACCAATTTGACCACCTAGGCATATGATAATATTTGTATTCGCAATAACAGTAGGTATAAAGATGTTGTCTACGCGTATATTTTCGTCTAGAGTGTAGGGAGGTCCAGGTTCAAACCCTGGCTGAGGTAATATTTTTCGCAATAAATTGCCTGCATTATTAAAGGTGCCAGGCATGGTCAAGAAAACACTGACGTTCTTATATATTTAATTGTACTTCTGAATAATCATTTCGTTGTGTTTTCAGATGTTACATCAGCAGAGTATAGTAATGACTCCTGCGCAGAACCAAATACAGGATGAATTACAACGGAAACATGAAGAGCTGCAACAGCTGATCGTTCATCAACAAGAAGAATTAAGAAGAGTCTCGGAACAACTCTTTATCGCCCGATATGGGATTCTCACGCCGTTATTGAATGTTTGTATATCTTTTAAATAAGAAATTGTACTGTAGTATCTAACGTCTTTAATTTTCGGATAACTGATTATTTTAACGTACATCTACTTGTCTATGTTTTTTTACATACTGCATTAAAAATTTTTTATTTGTGAAATATTATAATAACATCACAGTTGTTCACTTAAATACTGTCTGTTTAAAGTAACATGAAAAAGCTCATTGACTGATATTTATATTTCAGGCTGGTATACCGTATAATCCATCAAATCCGTGTCAACAGGCAAATCGGTGTAATACTAATAATACTAATGTGCCATTGCCCACATCCAATAACGTACAAGGCGTGAATGTGCTTCCCATACCAATTACTGTGCCAGTGCCTATAGTGCCTACGGAATTATTTTCGCATTCTTTACAAGTGAATCCGTCGCCAGGCTCGACGCATGGCAATGTGGGCGCTATAATTCAAACTCAACAGCAGCAACAACATTCGCAGTTGCAACACCAACAACAGCAACAGCAACAACAACCGGGGCCACCGCAACACGAAGGTAGTAATTCCGATCTCGTGCCTTTCCAAATCTGCCCACAGCAGGCCGAGATAATGTACAGTAATATGGAGGCGTCCTCGAATCAACAGCAAAGATCTTCGCAAAATTAAAAGACTTTAGTATTATATTTGTATTTACCAAGTAGGCTAGAATTTTTATCTTTAAATTTAATATATTTTTTAAATTTATCTAAGTTTTTTATTTATTTATTACTGTGAAAAAATTGGTTTACAATAACTTTTGCTATAATTATAAATATATTGTTGTTCTGCTGCTTTTCTGTTTTTTAGAGAACCTTGTCATTTCTGTTGTATGTTGCAAGTGTACAAAAGTATTTTAAGAAGTTAAAATAAGAATGTTTGTGTGATATTGCGGTAGATATTGCGTAAAATGTAACAGAACTTTCGCATTTTACAATAACTTGCCATTTTTAACATATTGACTATTTCTCATTCCAAGATTGTTGTTGTTTATAATTTGATCTATGTTTTTCTTGTTCGGTGATCTTAGAATAGAGACCCAGACTTCCATATAATGGATTATTTTGCGATTTTCTTTTAAAAAAATTCTTAAACCACAATGTGAAGTAATATTGTGCCTCGCAATATGTAAAACATAAAACCAGAATTTATAAAATTAATTACACGTATTGTATAATAATTTCTAAAAGAGATAAGTTTTGATAATGAATAATAATTTTAACTTAATAATTAGAATACAGTTTATTATACTCTCATTATATTTTATTTAAATTAAAACTTTCCAGTTCATAATGGCCGATATTTTTTATATAATTAATAATTCTTAAGTTTCGCTTTATTTACCTCCCATATTAAAAATGCAACGTATCTGAGTACGGAAAAAATTATTCTCTTAAATTAGAGAATTATTTTGGGAAAACATAAAGTGATTTAATATCTAAGAGTTATTGCGTTATTATATGTGTAAATTGTATAAAGTTACAAATAATGAAAATTTAATAAATCTGAGGGTATTGAGTGTACTAATACAATTTACGCATTTATCGAACAAAGAAGAGCGTATTACTAAGAAGGTAAAAATATATTATATTTAATGTACAATTTTTATGTAAATTTTGGTAATCTCTCCAAAACAATTTGATTATTTCTATAAAGTATAAAGCAGTTTTATAGCAACGAGTGAGAGAGCTACGATCAAAAGTAGACACAGCACGTTTATATGTATTCATTGAATTTATTTTTCTAATACGTGTCGTCAAAACGGAGAAGGGACCAATCTCCACATTTTCCGAAACAGGGTGTATTCATATATTTGTATACGTATATGATGTCGAACAAAGTAATATATATTTTGTGGTATGTATATGTATAATATGTTATCATTTTCTTACATATCTAGTGTATTATAATATATATGTTAGATTGCTATAACATTTCTTAATTGTTGCTCGACCAAAATATCGCCAATAAAACGAAAAGCTTAAAATCGATTAAACTACGATATGTCATGCGTTTAAATTGATGTGATGACAATATTATTGAAACGATTACATAGAACATAAAATACAAGATTAATAAAGATTGGTATAAAAATTTTTAGCAACAATTATTTACATGTTCACAGTTTCATATTATACAATCGAATTTAAAATAAATTGCATTAAATAATTAGTTTTGGAAATTTGAGAAATGCCTACAAATTTTTAATGTTCCTAATATTCAATAATTAATTTCTCTTTGTCAATTATTAATATAAATTTGCTACATTCAACAAAAAAAATAATAAAGATGTATATGATGTACAATATATTTATTTAATATATTGAAATTGAAAAACTGCAAAGTATTTCAATTTTATTCGTTACAAAAATTCTATCCTTCCATGTATAAAAGTTATGTAACAATAAAAATTTCTCAGAATATTACTACACAAACAAAAGTTTTTAATATATATATTTTTAGTGACAGTTTTCTTTGTGTACGTATTACTTTAATAAACACTTATTACGTTTATAATATAATAGCACGATAACATTTTATTAAACTATATATATAAATTATGATAGTATTTTAAAATATATCATGTAGAAATAGCGTAGAATAACATTAATTTAATGGCGTAATTTTCTTAACGCATCCATCAAAATTTGTACTTCTTGATTCACGTTATTTACAAGAGTTTCCACTTGTTGTTTACTGTCGATAATGCTGATGCTCTGCGTATAAGCATCATACCTAACTCCGAATTTTCTTGGTATGCTTTGAGCGAATTTCCTAAAAATAAAAATTTGATCATTCTTTTGGGTTTTTATCCTTATTGCGTTTGTTTAATAAAACAAATTGTGGATTTGCATAATAATTAGAAATAGACAAGAAGTCATATCTTTTGGGTTTTTATCCTTTTCGCGTTTGTTTAATACAACAAACTGTGCATTTGCATAATAATTCTAAATAGGCAAGAAGTCATCTTGCATGAAGTGCATTTCAATTTTGCGATAAATGCACAACCAATATTGCACAATGTGGAAAAAACAAGTGTTGACCTGGGGTGAGATAGATAAGAGAAAATCTACTCGACACATTTATTTATTGTCTCTCTACTCACGTCATCTTTTCTTTTGCATCTTCAAAGTTCTCGGCAACAAAGTATACGGGTTGATATTCCGTTATCGGGTATTTTTGCATTGCAGTCTTCGGTGGGTCGAAAGGTCGAAGCTCTGGCTTGCCGCTCAAACAATATTCCAATTCGCCGAAAGACGAGAGTAAACCGGCACCGTAGGCCTTTAATTCTCCATTTTGTCGACAAATTCCATATTCCACCGTGAACCAGAAACACTAGAAAAACAAGTTATATTAACAGAAATAAAATGAATGCAATATATTGTTTGGTTTTTAGGTAAATAATAGAATTTTTATCTTGTGTTCCATTTTCTATTATTAACTCCGATACTATTAAAAACCAGCCCAGTGAAAAATCGACATTGTCAAATTGATGTCGATTCGACATCGTTTCGACATTGATCGACGAATCGACGTCAACTTGATGGTGTCAATATCGATTCGACATCGTTTCGACATCGATTGACGAATCATTTCTCACTGAGTAGTAGCTAGTTTTTATTTCACAGTTTTAAGCCTTGTGTTCATGATCCAATAACTGTGCCCAAGTTCTAGTTCCGAGAAATGTGTTGCCAATCAACTGCAGCTTTTCCGAAAAAGATGCAAGTTGATTGGTTATACATTTCTCGGAACTAGAACTTGGGCACAGTTATTGGATCGTCAACACAAGGCTTTATTTAGGAATTTTGAACATATATTCGAGTTTTGGTTAACATACTTTATATATCAACTATAACATTACATTCTTTGAAATTTAAGTAAGAATTTTATGATACCGTTGCAAGTTTCTCTATATAATCGTCTGGAGCACCAAGGGATGCCAGACCGATAACTTGTGAAAACTGGGCAAAAGATGGGTCAGCGAAGAGTGGTGCATGGCCCAAAATCTCGTGGCACACATCTGGTTCCGGTGTGTAAAGTGGTTTACTGCTGTGTCGTATGTATTGTGTGCTGTGGAACACCCTGAAAGCTAATCCAGCCAGAAAGTCACGGGAAGACAACAATCCTGCCACTGGGCGAAGTGTAAAGCCGGTAGAGTCTGAAACATTAATTAGAAGGTAATATTTGATCACGAATATAAAATTATACTATTAAATTACACTATCAACTAGTTAGCAATTGGTATTTTCCATGATACAGATAAAAGGAAAGTTAATTATTCAGAGCTAAACAAAATTTGTATGCCATATCTAACGTTAACGTATTCTTAAATCAGCACAAAGACTTTTTCTTCTGTGACACGTAGAAATATTTATAGAGATATTACCTTTCAAGAAATTGGATATATCTTCTAGTTGAGGTATGTTATCTTCACGGTAGCCACAATTTTCGATGAGCAGCGGAAAAACGTGATTGTGCTCTCTGCACGCGTACTTTGGATAAAGCTTAGTCAAGTTTCTGAAGACTATGCCCCACGTAGCTATTTCTTCAGGCGTATATTCTACTTTTGGAATAGGTTGTCCGCTAAAATAATATTATATTTTTGAATTTTACATATGTGTGTAAATTAAACACTTAACATATATAAATATACATGAGATATTTGTAACTAAATAATATGTATATACATATTTTTATGTCTCGCAGTCCAGTTCTGCAATTTTAATACGATATACATCGTACCCTAGTTTGCAAAACTTACTGTTTGTAATGATAAGCAATGTCGGCGAAATATTTCCTTCTTTTTCTGTATACGGGATCCGTGAAACCAGGATGATCGCTATCAAGTTCGGCACCATAAGACAGAATTTGATTAGCAAATTTATCAAGATCGCGTATTCTTCTCGGAAACCATGGTACTGTATCCATGTTGTCTTTATGATTTCTGAAAAAAGTAATAGCTTCTTCATAAAGCTGTATTATTTTTTCATATATTTAAATTGATATGTTATATTAATAATTGATTTAATTATGTTTTACTGAAACGGTGTATTTTATTACGCACCATTGTTAATGAAGAATTAACAAAATATTGCAAGAATATCGAGAAACAAATCTAGATTTTTATTAAAACATAAGATAAAACAACAAATTGTAAGACTATAACTGAAGTCAAATAATTATGATTACATTAATAAAACTTAACAAGTATAACGAAATGATTTAAAAACAATTAAATAATGTTACCATATTTATGGCAAGTTATTGGAAATTAAAAAGTTTAATATACCACAGTTAGTTTTTATCGGAAAGTTAAAAATTTTTACCTAGAAATGATTGAAAAGTAGTTGCATTGATCTCGTAAAGATTCAATTACAGAGGCTATGTTACCACCTGGTGCACAGTCCACCATAAACTCATAGCCATTTGGTCGTCGAAGAGAACTTCTAGACTCGATGTGCAAGAGATTCACTTTGTGTTTCTAAAATAATACGTGCCCTTAGCTTATATGTGTTTTAATAGACCCATTAATAAATGAAATTTTACTCACGACGAAAAGCTGAAGATATTTTCCCAGTGCTCCAACTTCGTCTTCTTCTCTCGGGGAAAATATTAAGCAAGTGCTTTTAGCTGAATCTCTGCCTTCTTTGATGTAATTGCCGCCATGGATCAGTTTCGGCTAACACGCATTTCAAAAATAATTATGATGCGTTAAATAATAATGGTTTTTAAAAAATTTTTCTTTTGTAGAAATATTTTAATGTCCCTCCCTTTGTTTAGAAATTAATATTTTAATATCTCGATATTTCAAGATCTTAAAACGTTTTGATAAAAATAAAAATATAATTATTATTTTTAAATGTGTATTATTGACAACATGTCTTTTATTACTAATATTTTACGTAATAAAGGCTTACATGGAAATGAACAAACCCGTTTAAAAGTTTTTCGTATATTTACTAATATGCACAAATGTAAATAAAATATTAATAATTAATTTATTGAAAGACACATACCAATAATACCATTACATCTGCCATTATTGACTAACGGCACTCTTCAAAGTCTTCGCGTATCGTTATAGTTAAACTGCAAGGTAAACTGACGAATTAAAACTACAGTCGCGTGATCTTTCCATATATACGGTTGCAAGAACCCCCCCTCCTTATTCTAGAGTTCATCGAATGTTTGATGGAAATCCCGGTAATCGGTCGAGGTCCCGGTCGAGAATCCTGAAGCTTGTGCATATATAATTGTTTCCTTATACGCGTATAAAAGCATTATGATATGAACAGCGAGAAGAACAGTTTAAATAGAATATAGATGATCAAGTTTTTTACTACACAGAACAAAAAGTATAAAATTCCAAATACTGTAATCCGTGAAAGGTTTTGCATCATTTTGATTATAGAGGACAGTTTGGGAGTCAAGGACGATTTCTCCTTGTAATGTTCTTGAAATGGAAAGAATTTATCGTTTCACCAGCATTTATAAACACGTTATATATGAGAAAACATTTATTATATTAAGGAAAAAATTTTAATGATACTTTTTATGTTGTTATTATATTATATTATTGTTAAAAATGCACAATACGAAATATCCCGCAATTTGATTAATGACTCTGTTTACGAATACATCCAATATGCAACAAATAATTCTATTTCATCAGATCTCATATGTGTTTAAAGTGTCGATAAATATGCGCGTTGAATAAAATTAAACTTAAATTGCTATTCTCTTTTAAAATTCTTACCAAAATTTGGATAGCTTTTTTATTAAAAATGTCGCTTGACGTATATATGTTACATTTACGTCATTAAATTGGCAAACGTTTACAAAGTGATAAGATTTGATTTCATAATAAGTATTGCTTACTTGATATAACTCAGTATGATTAGTCAATCGTGTGATAAAATTATGTTTTGACGTTAATCGTTAATTGTAAATATTATTTAGAAAATATTTTGTTAAAATTCCGCTGAAAAGTTTCATTGCAACAGCTTCATTAAAACTTGTTATTAAATTTTTATCGGACTTTACGAAATTTAATCTTGTATTAAGGAAAACTTTTTTATTAAAAATTGCATTAATTCGATATCTATGTACATACATACCACACTGTATAAATGTAGCATGATATATTTTTCGTACGTAAAAAATAGTAGATTCTGTGCATTTATTAATAGCTTAAAATTATGCTATTTGTTTGTATCGTTTCTCTGTAGGTTTATATTATTATTTCCAAATTTTAACTAATGTGGATTGCGCTTCTATTAATAATAAATCCTACGTATGTTACACATCTGCATCTTACATCCTATGCAACGTAATATATTTTTCATATATTTTTTTATATATGAAAATAGTAAGATAAATGCAGTAAGTTCTTTGCATTTATTACTAAGATGAATCCATGTTAATTTTAAATTACCAGACAACACAGCGCGCGCTTCGCGCGCGCCATTTGCTCTCTCTAAAAATTCGCATGGTTTGGACAGCTGCAAATAACACGACTAAAGCATGTCGTATCGCACCCAATCAGCATTTCGGAAAAGAGACAATATTTCGAGACTTTCGACTATCGACTTAACACGCCTTTTTTAATATAGGAGAAGAGAAATAAAACTTATAACCTATACGTAGCAAGAGATATTTTTATAAGTTTATATTGTTTCTCTATACATGTAAATTTATTTATATTATTATTTATATAAATAATGTAGATAACCTCTTTGTAGAAGCCATCCTATGCTTTTTTTATTCTTTTTGGTCCGAAAGTAAACACATTCATTCATTGCAAAAAATTATTATCTCTAATAAAAGAGTAGCATTTTATTTTCAAAAACAAATTAATTAAGTACACGCCTTGTCATTTCACTAATAACAATTTTGTTTATACCTTATCTGGAGGTGAACTGCTGAGCAATGAGCTGCTATCTGCCACTTTCTCGGCGTTTGACGTTTGTTTTCGTGTTTGCGCATACATTGTCACAGTAACAAATTTAAAAGTCTGCACAATTAATTAACTTTTGTTTGAAATCCTGTCCCTTATTCGTCGAACGACGCGGAAGAACTGGTGCTTGGGACGACGTGACTATCAGTTTTAGCAGGTTACTTGATAAAAGAGCATCCTTGTCAATGTTGCGAAATAATAAGAGTAATAACTCATATATAGAGAAAAGTACACTGATGTGAAATATATCGTACAGGGTCAAGAAGTTATCAAAAAAGTAACGCGAACGATAATGTAATATCCTTCACGGGTGATTTTACGAAATCATTTATTGTTTATGCGCGTAAATATAATTAAATTTCTTTTGATACAATAATTATATTTATCTCCATATATTTCTAATCATATTATGCTTATAATACATTGCAATTCTTTGTGCCAGAATAAGTAATTTTTTCTTCTGGCAAAAATCATACAGCAATTTTTAAATAAAAGCAATTTAAAGTTATTGAATGAGGGTTTTAAGTCACGCATGAATCAGAAACGATACGTGCTAAATATATACATTGTTTTATTATTTGGGCGTTTTATTATTTTTCTTAATAACTGTATAATATCTAAATATTGCTATTAAAAAAATTTTAATCTTATTTTATAAAAGAAAAATTTTTTATCTGTTTTTAAAACAACTGCTGAAAATAAGATATGTTGATAATATATAAATAATTGTGATTCAAATATTTTAAATATTTAAGGCAAAATATGTTGTTTCAGTTGATATCAGTTAGAAAGTTTTATCTTAGAAAGCCTAAATATTGATATTTAGATATCATATATGCTGTTGTGAAATCTCTTTAGAAAGATAGTAAGAAAGCCTATGGATTTCATAGCCTATGGTCGGCATTCAATAACATATATTCAAGACTGTCTTGAATTAATTGTCTCTAGAGTATCTAAAAATGATCTTAAGATGGTCTTAAATCTAAGATCTGACTATGAATACTAGTCTACAAATATGGTGCGATAAAAGATCTCATTGCTCTCATTAGAGCTACGACTAGAGTACGGCGATTACATAAACAACATTGTTCAGGGAATTTATGAGAAAAATATATAAGTCACAAAGATTTTTTCATTTTATTTAAAAGCGGGAGATATGCGTTGCCTGAAAGGATTGTATCCGTTTGTGAGGTAACACCATTATCTTGTAGATTAATATAAAGCATTTTTAAAATTAATCGTTTCAAGTTTCAAGTAGAAAGATTCTTTATCTAATACTTTAATAGTCATATTGTAGTATGTCGCATCACAATTTTTGCACTTAAGGCGGTATATTACATTACTATTAAGCTAGTACCACACTATATGCGATTCGTAATGCACGATTCGTGATTCGTAATTCGCAGAAATTTGTTGGAAATTCGTTATTACTTACCACAGTATTTGTGATTCGCAGTTTATCATACGTAATTTATTATTTGCCAGTTCGTGTTAACTTCGACAATTTTTAACTTTTACCTGTTATTACACTTGTATCATAAGTCTACAATTAGTCAAGTTTCAATATTACTAAAAAAACCACTATTTTCGTAAAAAAAACCGCTCGGCTAACGAATCACTGCGAATGGCGAATCGCGCACAGCGAATCGACGAATTTTTCCTCCACACTATTCACGAGTATACAAATAACTAATCGCGCATAGTGTGGCGCTAGCTTTAGATGTTCTATCCCATATATAAATTAATTCGTCTTTATATTATACTCTTTTGATGTTATTTAATTTATTGAAACCATATAAACGTACCTTTCTATCAATGTTTGTCGTCAGTGTTTTAAATATATTAGATGTATTAGTCACGAAGGGGATCGATATATAAGGTACACTGAGAAAAATGCTTGGATTGTATCAACAAAACATGATAAAATGTATTTTGTAAACCAAACAGAATTTCTAGTTATCACGATAGGACTCGATACTTTATAATCAGAACCAGTTTGACTTTACTATAAGGATTTAGTTAGTAAGTTCCAGTTGTCTCTATAACACTTGTAGTTATATTATACTAGACATAGACAAAACAAAAGAATAAAACACCGTGTAACCAAAATTTCGGTTAATCGCGTGGGACACTTTAGCAGTTTTATTGTTTCGTGAGTGCTGGTGCGTGTTTGGGGTCGATTGGATCGACATATTTTCTATCCTGTATTATAGTGTAGTTAATAGAAGTGATATATGTGAGATTAATAGAAGAAAAATTATTTTAACAAATAAGAGAGGCAGTTACTTAAAACAATATAGGTATATTTTAATATTGTCTTATATCGCCTTTTTCATATACTTTATTATTAAGATCAATGATTTTTATT